TCACCCCCCCCCCCCCCCCCAATTCATATTTTTTATTTATATGGAAGGGATATCTGGTATTTTTCCCCTGTTGAAATATCATTTTTCTCCTGAAATATCACTTAGCCCTTCGTTGTCCTAGCCCCTCTCACCTTGTGTCTAGAGAGTCAGTTTGTCTCAAAAAAAGAGGTTAGTTCCACCCCTGGCTATCCAGTGTTAACGGTAACCCAATAATAATGGTTTGGCATGATGGTGGTAGCCCGACAATGGTGATCTGATGGTGGTGGCAGTAGCATGGCAAAGGTAGCCTAGCCTGGCGATGGTGGCCCACTTTCAGGGATTTGACACACAATAATAGCTCAATGTCAGCTGGGCAATAATGGTCCTATGACAACGACCACCCATCGACCTTGGTCAGTGGTCTAGCACTGCAACAGTGGCCCAATGATGGCGACCTGGCGGTGACGAAGGCACATGAGAATGGTGAATTGGCATGAGAATGGTGGCTTAACGTTAGGGTCTGGCACGACCATAGTGGTCAAGTGAAGTTGATCGTATGGTGGTAGCAACCTGGTGATGATGGTTCGAAGTTGGCAGTTTGGCTACGTTGACGACGACAAAGGTAAAGGAGACCATGATAAAGTACAATGGTCCGGCGATAGTGGAGCATGTAAGTCCGCAAGAGCATAGAGCTCCATTTAGTCTTATCATCCCTATTCATGTCCCCTTCATGAAGAGAGTGGGAATCTTTTTTATATATATTGAGAGTAACATCATCCGTAAATATTGCATGAATTTGAAATACTCAATCAGACGGTCTAGAGTGATCCCTTTAATCGAATGATGTTTAATGGGTGTTTAAGTGTCTTAATAATATTAGAATTAAGTGATCTTGGACTCAGTGGATTCGTTTTGTCAAGACACTCGATCTGGATATAAATTTGTCATATTTGGATATCATTTGGTCCCCAAATATATCTCAAAGCTTCTTAATATGCTTTAAGTGTGTGATCTGAGCCCAATTGGACTCAGATCAAATGAAGTATGATGTCATTTGGTTAGTCTTACCAAGTCACTTCATTTGAATTGGACTCTAGGTAATTAAATATTTAGAGTTCTCAGTTCCAATGCATATAGAGTTTCCTGATTGATTGAGAATTTTTTTTGGGACGTACTAAGGGTGAAGTTTTTTTATGGATTAGCATTTTCTCTTACAGGGTGGTATTCCACAAAAACCAAGTGATAAGTCATTCAGTTATTGATATACCATTCACTTTTCAAAAACTACGGAATGAGGAATGATGAAGAGTGTGGTCGTTTAAAGTTTTATCTTAAATCCTTTGAGCTAATCTACAACAAAGCCTGCTTCTTCTCCTAGAGCCGTCTCCTTGTTCCTGAAAGCTTCAAACCTCTGCAATGGTAGCACAGGAACACAGCCGACGTGCATGATGTAAAGCCAATGTGATTGATGCTAGTTAAAAAAACCATGACAAAGCTGGACTGGTGTTCATCCTAAGGAAAGCTGACCTTCGAAACTGATTAAAAATATAACCGGGAAGACGGACCCAATTTCCCCCTCATTTAATTAATCCCAAAATTAACCTATATATATCCCTTCTAGTTAATCTCAAACTCAATAAACAAATGAAACAAACCACTCAAACAAAAGCAAAAGCTAACCAATCAATCAAGATGAAATGAGACGTCGAACCTAGAGAGGGGTTGTAAGAGGTTTGTGTCGCAGAAGTCGTTCCATCCACAATCCAGGAGAAAGTTGAATCCATCTATTGAAAGCAAATAGCAAAGAGGATTCTCGCTGTACACGCCGCAGAGAGGCGTCACCTGTACTGAAGTTCCCATGGCTGGCTTCTACTCCAGAGAGAGGAGGAACCTCCGTGGTTCTTTTAGCGCGGTGCGAAGAGAGGAAGCAGGGTGAGGCTATGAGCAGGGTTGTCTGTCGGAGCCACAAATGAAAACGCACTTATTAAGGTGTGTAGCCAATTAAATTAAGTCAAGATATAAGGTAAATATTCCCCCTATGTTATTTATGTGTTATTGTGTCTTATTCATGTGTTATTGCGACTAGGGCTGTCAAAAAAGTTCGTTGTTCGCGAACAGTTCGTGTTCGGTTCGTCAATGAGTTCGTGTTCGATTCGTTCGATAAGTAAACGAGACAAACACGAACAAATTTTTTTTGTTCGGTTAGTTAAACGAACCAAACACGAACAGTGATGCGTTCGTTCGTGTTCGAATCGTTATTGTTTGAAATATAAAATAATATAAAATAATTATATATAAAAAATTTATTATATTTTAAAACATTAAATTTTATAAATTATAATATATAATAAAATAATAATAATAATATATTAATGTGTTCGGTTCGTGTTCGACTCGTTCGTTAAGAAACGAACACGAGCTTATTTCAAACAAACTAAATTTTAAACGAACCGAACACGAACACAAGCTTTGTTCGTTCGTGCTCGGTTCGTTTACACCCCTAATTGCGACTTATTCATGTGTTATTGATGTGTTATTGTGTTATTATAACACCAAGAATATTCTCAGGACACAATAACACACAATAACACTTAAATAACACGGGAAATATTCCCGACAGAGAAAAAAAAAGGCGCAGTAACACGGGGGAATATTCTCTCCCGTGTTATTCTTGTGTTATTGTGTGTTATTCATGTGTTATTCATGTGTTATTCATGTGTTATAACACCAGGAATATTCTCAGGATACAATAACACATGAATAACACACAATAACACATAAATAACATGGGGGGAATATTCCCCGTATTACTGCGCCGTTTTTTTTTCTGTGTCGCGCAGGGTATCGTGGCGTGATTTCATTAGCTATGCGTGTTATTCTACGTGCGTAGTACTGATGTAATAGTTGCATTGCGCATTTGGTTGCTTTTGTTGTACGCCAAAACACCGATTTTTTACAAAATCATTGGGTTTATATGTTTGTGTAAGCAATCTAATAGTTATGAATTTTATAATTTATATTATTTGTTAAAAGTGATAAAGCATTTGTTAGGGTGAAAACGCCGCCTAGCCGTTTGATTTGCTCGTTTTTAAAACTCTGTCTGTTGCGTTTGAATTTTTTACGCTAAACGCAGGCTGCGGGCCGCGTTTCAGGTTGCCCCAAACAGACCCTAAAAATAAATATAGATATGTAGCTATGCATGTAACTTCAAAATCCAATGGAAAGCTTTCATATATTTTTTTTTCTTCTAGTTTGTTGAAAAATAAGAATATATATTTATATCTTAATTTTAGTCTGATTTGCTATTTTTAAAGGATGTTAGCATTGTAGTTATTGTAGGACAAGATAGAGATGTCGAGAACTTTGGTAGATGAAGCAATTGCAAAATTATTGACTGGTGGTGTGTGCGAGATTGTGGGGATGCACAAGAGATCAGTCAACAATTATGCATAAAGAAACTATGGTGTCAATAAAATTACTTAATGAGTTATTTTTTGTATTTTCTAAAAATATTTTTATTTATTTATGTGAGACAAAATTGCATAGAAAAAAATTAACCAAATATATTTGTACAAAGTGTTTCAAAGAAAAACAAAATTTCAAGCCTTCAAAATAATAAGATATTTATTTTATATTCAAAATAAACAAAATAAAATTATCATTTTCTTAAAGGAAATTTGACCTGATAGTTTTATTTTAACTAAGAAGGCATCAATTCAACTAAGTCAACAACATCTATGATTTGATTTAATAAAATAGAATAAATTATGTTTAATCAATTTTATAAACTATAAGTTAAAGACTATTTAGAATATTCATCTCATGTATTTATAATTTAATTAAAATATAGTATGTTGAGTAAAATGATTTTTTATTTGGTTTGTCTATATCTAATTAATAATTTAGTAGGCTTCATGAAATATTAAATAATTATTAGTTATAAAATTTAATCGGATTAAGCATGATTTAATTAGGCCCCTTTTGGGGCACCATGTTTATGATTTTTTGCTATCAAAATGTGTTTGTCATTCGGCTTTTGCCCCACTTTTCGTTGTCCGTCATCCACGGAACGAAGAAAGGGGGAACGCAGGGGAACTGATGCATTTTACGACGGATCCTTCATTTTGATTGCAAAATCCCTTCACTACCCCCATGAAAATTTTGTTATACCTCATCATATCCCCCATATTACCCTTGCATTGCCTTATATTCCTTCTCCCACCTCTTTCTCTATTGTTGTGGTTTTAGGGCAACATCTTGATCCTCTTCTTCAACTGTCGAGGCCTCTCTTCTCCGTATGTATATTAACTTCTCTTCTTACATTTTTTTTGTGGTACTTTATTACTTTGTTATCTTTTGAGTTATTTATTTCTCATTTTACTATTTGGTTGTTTGAGATGTTTCAGATTTTGGTGCCTTTATTGATTTAGTAGTTATCTCATATTTACGAGCAGTGTTGGTTCTTTTGAATGGATTTTATGGAGATAATTCAAGCACAATGTTGGTTATTTTACAAAAATAACCATGAGAATTTGGTTTTCTATTATTGTAAATATCTGAGTTTTCATGTTAGATCTGTAATTGCAATTCTCTTCCATCTCTTTTAAATTTAGAAAAAGATTGTATTAAGGAATTTAGGGGTATTGATTGTTCTATAGAAAAATTGTTCATGAGAATTTGATTTTATACTATTGTGAAAATCCCATTTTTCTTGTTATATCAATAATTTCATTTCTCTTTCCTCTTCTTCAAAATTTGAAATGATTGTTTGAAGAGATTTCCATTTCCTCGTCTTCAAACTTGTAAAGGATTTTATGGAGGGAATATAAAAGAAGTGTTGGTTATTTTAGAAATAAATCAATGATAATTTGGTTTTCTAAAATTCTAATAACCTCAGTTTTCATGTTAGATTGGTGAGTGCATTTTCATTTCCTCTTCCTTAAACTTGGAAATGATTGTAATGAGGGAATTTAGAAACAATGATGATTCTTTTGAAAATATATCCATGAGAATCTGAGTTTTTAATATTGCAAATTTCTAAGTTTTTATGCCAGGATAGTAATTGCATTTATCTTTCCTCTTCTTCAAACTTTGAAATGATTGTTTTGAGAGAATTTAAGAGCGGCATTGGTTATTTTGAAAATATATACATGAAAATTTAATTCTCTTCTATTACAAATGTCTCAATAGATCAATGATGTTATTTCTCTTTACTCTTATTCAAATTGTGAAAACATTGTATAGAAGGAATTTTCGAGCAGTGCTTATTCTTTTGAAAATATATCAAAAAAATTTTCTATCTCAAATATCTCGATTTTAATGTTAAACTAGTGATTGCATTTCTCTTTCCTCTTGTTTAAACTTTAGAAGGATTGTTTGAAGAGAATTTAGTAGTGATAGTTATTTTGAAAATATATACATAAGAAACTGGTTTTATGCTATTGCAAATGTCTCAATTTCATGTTAGATTAATGATGGTATTTCCCTTTATTATTCTTCGAAAATTGAATGGATTTTATGGATGTGATTTTGGAGCAGTACTTCTTCCGTTCAAAATATTAATGAGAATTTGTTTTTATATCATTCAAAATGTTTCATTTTTCATGTTATATCAGTAATGATATTTCGCTTTCCTCTTGTTTTAGCTTTGAAAACCAAATAATTGCATGTTTGGAGAGATTTTTAAAAATAGTGTCTGTTACGTTGAAAGTATGTCCATGAAATTTTTTTTTTTTTTTTTTGTTATCACAATGTCCCAAATTTCATGTTAGATCAATGATTGCATTTACCTTTCCTCGCCCTCAAACTTGTACAGGATTTTATGGAGGGAATATAAGAGCATTGTTGGTTATTTTATAAATACATCAATGATAATTTGGTTTTCTGAAATTGTAATAATCTCCGTTTTCATTTTAGATTGATGAGTGCATTTTCATTTCGACTTCCTTAAACTTGGAAATGATTGTATTGAGGGAATTTAGAAGCAGTGATTGTTTTTTTGAAAATACATCCATGGGAATCTGATTTTTTTGATATTACAAATATCTAAATTTTCATGTCAGGATAGTAATTGCATTTATCTTTCCTCTTCTTCAAACTTTGAAAGGAATGTTTTGAGAGAATTAAATAGTAGTGTTGGTTATTTTGAAAATATATACATGAAAATTTAATTTTCTACTATTACAAATGTCTCGATATATCAATGATGTTATTTCTCTTTACTCTTATTCAAACTGTGAAAGCAATGTATAGAAGAAATTTGGAGTAGTGCTTATCCTTTTGAAAATATATCAATTTTTTTTTATCTCAAATGTTTTAGCTTTAATGTTAAATCAGTGATTGCATTTCTCTTTCCTCTTGTTCAAACTTTAGAAGAATTGTTTGGAGAGAATTTAGAAGTAGTGATAGTTATTTGGAAAATATATACATCAGAATTTGGTTTTTTGTTATTGCAAATGTCTCAATGTTAGATGAATGATGGTATTTCCCTTTATTATTCTTCAAACTTTGAATAGATTGTATAGATGTAAAGTTGGAGTAGTACATGTTCCGTTCAAATATATTTCATTTTTCATGTTAGATCAGTAATGATATTTCACTTTCCTCTTGTTTTAACTTTGAAAGAATTATTTGGAGAGAAATTAGAAGCAGTGCTACTCATTTTGAAAATATATGATGAGAATTTGTTTTTTTTTTATATTGTGAATATCTCAAATTTCATTTTAGATTAGTGATGATATTTCATTTTACCCATCTTCAAACCGTGCAAGGATTATATTAAGGAAATTTTTGGGGTAGTGTTTCCTTTTTTGAAATATATCAATGAAAATTTTATTTTCTACTATAGCAAAATTTCAATTTTTATATTAAATCAGTAATAACATTTCTCTTTCATCTTCAAACTTTGGAAGGATTATTTGGAGAGAATTTAAGAGCATTGTTAGTTATTTTGAATATATATAT